TGACGTCTTCTAGACTCGTTAGACCTTGAAAGCATCACTTATTTCCCGACGAGGTGTCTGGGTATTTATTCTGTGCCTTTTATCGTGGAAAAATAAAATAAAAGTTAGGCTAAGCGTTTTAAAATACAACAGCTTTAAAATATTCAAGATCCCCCCCCCCCCCCCCCCACGTGTCAATCTGGCTCCAACGACTGCGCTCAGAGGCTTCGGATCTAAGGGTTTCAGGAAAACCGCAAAGATAGGAACAGATGTTAAAATCCAGTCCTACTTTGTTGGCTGCGACACAAAAATATCAACAGTCTGACGGTTCATTTGTCTGCGGTCCCCAGGGTACAATCTGTAAAAATGTTGCTTACGCGGATTAACATATTAACAATCTGGGGAGATTCCTATCGAGAAGAGATCATTTTTACCCTTTCATCTTCTCCGCTTCCAACACGTGTCCAATCTCTCTCTCTCCCTCTCTCTCTCTCTCTCTCTCACTCGCTCTCGCTCACACACTCTCTCTTTCTCACTCTCTTACTCTCTCTCTCTCGCTCTCTCTCTCGCTCTCGCTCGCGGACGTGAAGGGCGTTATTTGAACGCGGAGCTGTTGTCGCTCTTTTAGTTGTGAATCCCGTTTGGGAAGCGGAAGCTGCTGTGTCACGTGTAAGAGTCGTGTATCCGTATGAATTACCAAACCCTCAACCGGAGTAACGACCTTGGAATGGTTTTATTTTACTCACCCCTCCTTGTTCCAGATTCGCTGCCAAACGCGCGAGAGGTGAACACAGGGGGAATATATTCAGCTGAGGATGCAGTTTTATCTCTTCTGATGTGCGTAGAAAGCAGTTTCAGGCGGATTAACTTTCTTCCAATTGTCGTAATGGTGCCATTACCGATCTCTTCCCGTTTTACTGACCGATCCATCTCCTGAGTGTTCGCTAAAGGACGCAGTAGGTTGTTTGGACTGGGACAGAGCTGGAAAGGGGATACAGCGTCAGGGGAAAGGTTTCTGCGCGGCGTGATTTAACTGTGACTTGCGGGCGCGCTCGAGGTTTGGTTTCCCGTTGGCATTTCGTTTTACCGGGCCGCGGGTAAACGGCGGCACGAAATGTCGGAAGGTTTTAAGGCATGAGAAGACACACGTGCACATACACACGCGCACGCGCCCCCCCCCCACACACACACGCGCGCACACGCCTACGCACATACACACAAGTGGCCCAGGGTGCAGTTTGACCTCCGCACCCATATCTCTATGGAATGCCTCGATCAAAGCACGGGGGCCAAATTCGTGAGCCTTATTCATGAAATGTCTTTTTTTGGTGGGGGAAGGGGATAGTTTGGGTTATAATCCTTACATTTGATATAGCGCCTTATCACGTCTTCGGGACAGGGATAGATAGGTAGGTGGGTGGGTAGGTGGGTGTGTAGGTGGGTGGGTAGATGGGTGGGTAGATGGGTGGGTAGATGGGTGGGTAGATGGGTGGGTAGATGGGTGGGTAGGTGGGTGGGTAGGTGGGTGTGTAGATGGGTGGGTAGGTGGCTGTGTAGATGGGTGGTAGATGGGTGGGTAGGTGGGTGGGAAGATAGTTGGGTAGGTGGGTGGGTAGGTGGCTGTGTAGATGGGTGGGTAGATGGGTGGGTAGGTGGGTGGGTAGGTGGGTGTGTAGGTGGGTGGATAGGTAGTGGAAAGAGAGACAGAGAGAGAGAAACTTCAAACCCATAATAGGATTTATTACTTTCTCCCGGTTATATTAGGGTTACAGCCTTGCCGGTGAGCGCTGTTGCCAAGGTCAGGTTTATCACAAGTCGTTCAGTCGAGCAGGTTTGACGGAGGGAACTGATGCTTGTCAAGGAAACTGGGTCAAGCTTTGGGAGTGAGGAGTGGCCTGCTGATTTGTGCCACATCAGAGCTCCTGCGGCAGCTGTTTACGAAGAGTGCGAACCCCGTTGAGAAAATAATGATGATCATTTCTTCGTGGGTGAGGTGGGGGAAGGCGGCGTGGGGGGGGGGGGGGGAAGGGGTGTGGGTGGGGGACTCAGATGACGTCTCAAAGCGCTTCACGGGATACGCTGCAAAGTGAATCGACTGGATAGTTTGTGGGCGAAACTCGGCAGCCAATTGCGCACAGCAGCGTCCTCCCCCCCCCCCCCAAACAGCCGTGGATTGAGCGACCAATTTACTATTATTATTTTTTTCAAGGGGGTGTTCGTGAATATGCCCGTAACCGGCTCTTGTTACACGTGTACTCGGAGCTAAAACGCGTTGACTGGAGGCCGTGCGCTTTGGTTGACCTCTTCTGAAGCAGCTACGGAAGGGCTGACCATCTGGGTTTGAGTCGCACGGGTGTGCGAGACCTTCGGAGCCTTTTTTTTTTCGGCACGAGGGTGAGGCATGTACACAGGACGCAGCGAAGTCGGGCTAAAGGTTGTGTTTTCACAGGAGAGGGATAAAAAAAAAAGGGTCAAATAGAAACCGTTTCACAAGAATTCTGCCTTTCCTATTGAGACGACGTTACTCGTGGAAGCCATGACACGATGATGATAATAATCCTTGCATTTGAGCCTTATCGCGCCCCCCTTGAGACGTCTCACAGCGCTTCACAGATAACGCGTTGCGAAGTGGAGTGACTGTGCTTTCTGTGGGCGAAACGCGGTGGCCAATTGCGCACAGCAGCGTTCCCCCCCCACCCACCCACAAACAGTTGTGGATTGAGTGACCAAATTATCGCGGTCGCGGGTATTGTTCTGAGTTCACTTTCTCTGTCCCGTTTAACTAAATGTGCGTCTCTCTCTCTCTCTCTCTCTCTCTATATATATATATATATATGGAGTCCTGTAGCTCAGTGGTTAGAGCACTCGCTTTGCAAGTGAGAGACCTGAGTTCAATTCCAGGCAGAGGGCGAAACCTCGGGCAAGTTTCCTTACTCCACACAGAGCCTAATAATAATCCCTCCAAAACAAAACAATAATTAAATTGGTCATTTTCAATCTACGACACTTTGTGGGACATTGCTGTGCGCAATTGGCTGCCGCGTTCGCCCACAAATATACAGTCAATTCACTTTACAGTGTGTTCTGTGAAGCGCTTTGGGACGTCCTCCCGACGTGAAAAGCGCTATATCAAATGCGAGGATTATTATTATTATTATTATATACTCGTTTCGCCCACAAAATATACGGACGATTCACTTTACGGTGTATTCCGTGAAGCGCTTTGAGACGCCTCGAGGATGTGATAAGGCGCTATATCAAACACAAAGAGATATATATATATAAGGATCCTGCTGGGATTTCTTTTCGAGGCTGAAGAGCCCAAGTTTATCCTCAGGGCTCAATCCCTCTAACGCTGGGGTCAGTCTCGTTGCTGTTCACTTTGATTATTGTCTCTTCACTCACTGACCTTCCCTCCTTGGACAATCATTACGTCTGGGTTTTCCTTCATCTTCCTTCCTGTCTATGACCCAATCACCACCACCAACCTCCCCACCCCCCCACCGCCACCGCCACCCACCCACCCCCCACCACCACCCACCCACCACTCGCCCGGCTCCACTAGCTCCCCATCTCCCCAGAGGATACAGTTCAAAATCCTCGTCATCGCTTTCAAAGCCCTCCAAGGCCCCTCGTTCCTCTTCGACCGCGCCTTAGGTCACCTTCCTAAACCTCCCCCACCCAACCCCACGCCCCCCCACCCCCCGCCGCCACCACCCTCCCTGCCCTCCCAGCAAGTGACTTGTAACAGTTGCCCGGTCAATAAGACGGGAGCTTTCTTCACCCGGACGCTCACACAGGCTCGAGAGGACAAACCGGTCCAGCACTGAGATCCATTCAGTGAAACACACTGAGTCAAGTCAGGGAAGCTCCGTGAGCGATGGCACAACAGCACTGGAAACCTGCAGACACGCGGTAACTCAGTCCGCGTGCACATAGAGCGGCACACGCACGCGCACACATACATGCAACCCACACACATATACCACACAGACGCGCACACACCACACACATACATACACACCACACACCTACCACACTACACACCTACACACACACCACACACATACGTATACACACACCACACAACACACACACACACACACACACACCACACACGCATACATATACCCACGCACGCGCGCACCACACACACACCACCACACACCGTACATACACACACGCATACACCACACACACACACACACCACACATGTATAACCACACACATACACACGCGCACAGCACGCACATACACAAGCACATACATACCACACACGCAAACACACACACAAAAATCTTTCATTTTGGGAGGAACGTTACGTTTTGGGTCTCGCACAGAGAGAGAGAGAGAGAGAGAGAGAGAAATATAAATTGACGAGTTTCTGTTCATGTTTCTTTCAACCTCCCCGTCACCCATCCTGTGACCTCCCTCCCCAGCCTGGGCGCACGGAACTGGAGGAACAACAACAACAACAACTCCATTTATAGAGCGCCTTTCACATCGCGAGGACGTCCCAAGGCGCTGTACAGTTGGGTCAAGACCCGAGCACAGGGGGGAAATGGTCAGCGAGAGGGGAGGGAAGGGAGGGAGCGAGGAGGGGGGAAATGGTCAGGGTGAGGGGAGGGAAGGGAGGGAGCGAGGAGGGGGTAGAGAGTCGAAACGAGAGATGCCATCTGTCTGATACGGAAAAGATGAATAACTCTATTTAAGTTCCTGGTTTCCGAAGGTGTTGTCTCACATATTAACGCGGACACGGGGGGGCTGGGGGTGGGGTGGGATGGGGTGGGGTGGGGGAGAGGGAAAGAAAAGAAAAGGCAGAGGGTCTTCTCGAGCTGTGATTAATGCTGCGGTGGTTTCTTTCCCCCCTTCCCCACCACCCCCACACACCCCACACCCTCCTCATCTCTACCACCTCCCACTCCCCACCTCTACCTCCTCCCTGTCTCATTCTGGAGGCTTCTCATCTGCGCCCCAAACCCCCCCCCCCCCCCACCACCCACCCCCGGCATCTCCAAAGATGACTTACTACTGCGAGCTCCTTGTGTGAGGAGGAGAGGTAGCAGCGGTGAGCAAGCCAGTCGGGGGGGGGGGTGTGCGGGGGGCGGGGGGCGGGGGGTGGGGGGAGAGAGGAGGGAGCGAGCGAGTGTGTGTGTGTAATTGCTTGCGCTGTGCTTTTTAACGCTTCGCGAAGAAAGATAGCCCAACTTCAGTCACTTTGTGTCCCCTCCCCTACCGATTCTCATGCTAATTCCCACGCCAGCCCCCGAGCTAATCCCCCCCCCCCCCCCACCACCACCCTCCACCCTCCACCACCACCATCATCACCGTCTTTTGTCTGCGGGACCTTTGCTGGAAAAGGCTACGGCTGTTAATGCCGCTTTCCTTCGTGCGATTGGGTTAAACAAGGAGGATTTGCGGAGGGGGGGGACGACACTTTTCCCTGAAGGCAAAAAAAAAACACACACACACACAAGCACTGGAGCGCCGAGCTGAGGGTTTAAGGTGTAATTCGGAGGAGGCTCGGAATTAAGTTGGTATTCCTCTCTCAGCAAAGTCTTTGTCCTTTTTTTTTTTGGCCGGTTTCCCCCCCATCCCCACCCCCCCCCCCCCCACGTCGCTCTCTAACCGAACCGAACCGAACCAGAACCAGAACCAGAGCGGATTATAAACGGCCTCGGTCTTTTTTTTGCAAAGATGTTGCTGGGTAAGTGTGTTGCAGAGAGACAGAGAGAGAAAGAGAGAGAGAGAACTTTAAAGCAAGTGTTTCGGAATTTCTTCTCTCCTTTCCACCCCCCCCCCCCCCACCACCCCCAACCTCTCAAACCCCCCTCCTCACCTCCTCCCTCCTTTCCTCTCCCTCCCCTCCCACTCTCCACCCCCTCTCCCTCCGGCTTGTCAGTCCCAAAGGCGATAGCAATTATTATACCGTCCACCAATACTGTGGACGGTATAATAATAATCCTTGCATTTTTTTGATACCGTGCCTTATCGCGTCAATATATGGTATATAGTCCTTCAAAAAAGATAATAAATTGGTCACTCGACCCACGACTGTGTGTGTGGGGGGTGGGGGGGGGGGGGGGACTCCGCTGCGCGCAATCGGCTGCCGCGTTTCGCCCACAAAATACGCAGTCAATTCGCTTTACCGTGTATCCCCGCGAAGCGCTTTGAGACGTCTCGAAGACGGGATGAGGCGCCGTACGTATCAAATGCGAGGATTATTATTATTATCATCATCGTCTTTGTTCCGGTCAGCAGGAGCGCAAAGAAGATTGCTTTGCCAAAAGGGTTTCGAGCACAACCTCGTCCGGTGCGAAATACCTTTTATTTTTATTTTGTTTTGCCTCTGTGATATTTCACGGCAGCTCGGAATCCCTCCCTCTCTCTTTTTTTTTTTGCCAGAGGCATTTTGTTGTGGGCAGATATCTGGGCAGGAGCTGAAGCAGTTATCTCAACTACTTGTTAGGATAACGTCACACCGAGAATGTGTGTGTGTGTGTGTGTTTTTTTAACGCGCCGCAATATATAAGCCGGCTGCTGACTGTTAAGAGTGCTGTGGTTAATGGTGCATGAAATATGTGATAATCACTTAAAGTAGCTGTTCAATCACCTCTGAAATTCTGCTGCATGCTTCCTTTTTTTTTAAATAGGATGTTTTTAATGCTGTTGGTAGACCGACTGGACCCGGGCGGAGGGAGATGGTGGCGGTGGTGGGGTGGGGAGTGGGGGTTTTTATGTGTGGGGTGGAGGGAGTTAGTAAGGGGTGGGGTGGGGTGGGGAGGGAGGAGGGATGGGGGGGGTGGTGATCTGTCTTCTGAGTGCCCGGAGCTTTGGGACATCCTCCCGACGTGGAAGGCGCTGTGCGAATGTAATTCGCCTCCCGCACCGGTACACGATACGACACTGACGCTTGTGTTTGTTACTGCGCCTTCGATCGTGTGGTCAAACAACAACAACAAAATTACATTTGTAGTGTGTCTTTCACGTCAGGGGTTACTGTGCGCTTGTGACGGCCAATTTGCACGCAGACGTAGCCCGCAAACGGCCATGGTTTTTTTTTTTACGGGGGGTGGGGGAATTAGCGGCGGCGGCGGTGGGGGGAATTGTCAGCCAGGAATCTTGGTTTAAGGCGTCCTCCGAAAAGAGCTTTACTGACGCGGCCCATCCTGTGAAAACCTCGCCTTAACATTTTTATTTTTATTTGTAAAACGCACAGTCACTCCACTTGACAGCCGTATCCCGCGAAGCGCTTTCAGGCGCGATCAGGCGCCGCGCGAAACGCAAGGTATTAGTATTGTCATCTTTGCATCTCAAGGCATCGCCGCGGGTCGTGACGTGACGGCTTTGAGTTCCGCTGACGTGACACCCAAAGGCACGGACTAAAAAAGTCTCGGTCCACGAACAGAACAAAACAAAACAAAAAAAAATACCCCCGATACCGAATGAGCTTTTCACTCGAATGGTTGGGGCTGCGATCTTCATTGACACACGATCTGCGATTAATGTCCGACTGAGCTGAGTCAGGCATCGCAGCGAGGTCTCAAGTCGCATAGCTGCAAGGCACATGTCTCTCAGACAAGAAGGTTGAGTTACTGAACTGTGGCTGTTTGTAGGGGGGGGCGGTGGGGGTTGGGGGTGGGGGGGGGTTTGTGTTGCGGAGCAAGTTTTCAATGGCAGGGATTTCATTGGAAACAATGAACTATATATATTTCTTTAGGAAACTTCATTAACTCTTTCGCACACCACCTCCGCCCCCGACTCCAAATCGCTGCGTTAGCTACGGACTGATTTTAGGGAGGGGGGGGGGGTGGGGGGGTGGCGCACGTTTGGAGGAAATTTAAACGTCATCCGTGGTTAAGAGGTACTGCGGGTTAGATTCCTTCGTGTGGCTGTATTTGGTAGCGCCCTCGCCTCCGGGTTAGAAGGTTACGGGTTCAAGTCAATTCGAGTCGACGTTGGAATTTGAGCTCGAGGTCCAGGTTCTGGGGCAGCGGAAACGCACTGGTTTGTTTCAGAATTGTCTTCCTTTGGGGATGAAACGTTAAACCGGACGATCCGTCCGTCCGTCCGTCCATCTCGTCGGGTGTGTGTTTAAGATCCCACGGCTCCATCCATTCAACGAGAGAACAGAGTCCCCCCCCCCCGGCGTCCAGGCCAACAACCCTCCAGACCAATTAGTGACTCACCACACGGTTGTTGGCACGTTTGCCAATAAAACACACAATTCTCAGCAATTACTTGTGCGATGTTTCAACATTATAGGACAATTGGGCTGACTGTAGTAGACGTAAGGATTGTTACTCTTTCCCGAGCAATAGGGGGTACAGAGCTCTGTGCCTTTTAGATTAGAGGTGTTTGTTCTTTTTTGGAGCGGAGGGGAATGGGGGGGGGGTTCAATGTGTATTGCTAAGGGTCATGTCCTCCCGACGTGAATGAAAGGCCCTGTATATATGCGAACTGTATTGTAAATCACGTTGCGATGTCCCTCGCTGCGATGTTTGGATGTTAGAAAAAAGAAACGAGGCCGTTAAATCTTCCAATTGTTGAGCCCAACGTCTCTTGTCTGCGTCATCCAGCTCGGATATTGACGCATTCATTCATACGATGACCAGTTTGGGAAAAGTAGGCTCGTAAACTGACCTCGACCATAGCCTGTCAGATTGTTTGTGCGCAATTGGCTGCCGCGTGTCACCTACAGAATGTACGATCAATTCACTTTACGCTGTATCCTGTGGACCGCTTTGGGACGTCTCAACGATGAGCTAAGGCGCGGTGTCAAACGCAAGGATAGAGCGATCACAACATCTTTTATCATTTTTTTGGGGAGGTGGGGCGGTGGGGGTGGGGGGGTCTGCGGGGGAATTATTGATAAGAAAAAGTTTCGCCCTAACCGGGAATCGAACCCGGGTCCTCTCGCTTGCAAGTTTAGAGCGCTCTTAATCACTACGCCGCAGGAGTCCACACGCATCTGGAGCTCTGATGGCGCTCCCCTTCTCCTGCAAGTACCTTTGCTCTCTACGTACGTGTCCTCCGGGCTCTGCGCTGACCCCATTATGGGTTCACGTTTTTGAAACAGTTCGGAGGCGCCGACGGGAGAGTGTTGGTTTCCCCACAACCAAAATTACTGAGTGAACCTGAGACCGTGCGAAGAATGGTGAGACTTTTGGCGTCCAGTTGCCATGTTTGGGGTGAGTGTGCGCCAGTCCTCACACGTCTGTGCGATCCGTGAAGTAATTGTACGGGAATGATTGCTTGCCTCGCAGGTGTGTAAATAGCTTTTAAGGGTCCTTTGATAAGGAATCCCATTCGTTATTCCTCTCTTCTCTACATCCCCCCTTCCCGCCCCCCCCGCCAACCCCCACCACCCCCCCCCCACCGTCGAGCCTGTTCCAACAACAACGACAACTTGCATTTGCATAGCACCCCTCACGCAGGGTTGCGTCCCAGTTACATATCTTGGCAGATCTTTTAATCCTGGCGCTTTGCTGTTTCACGGCGTCCTTTAATACCTCCCCCACTAAGTATCTGTCTGTGTCTCCTTGAAATACCCCTATTGATTCCACCTCTCCAGCTTTCTGTTCCCGCGTGGGCTGTGCTTTCAGAGAACTATCTGCAAGTCTTAGATTGCCTATTAAGGGATCTAATTAAGAAGTGCCGCCAAATTCGACCCCGTTGTACCTTCGCAACGGCAGAAATTGTCTTTGCAGCCACTCTGTTTTGGGGCCCTGTTTGATTTTCTTGCAAGAGCGAAGGGATAATGTATCAGGTAATCTTCCAGGATTTTGCTGGCAACGGCATGGCTGTGGAATCCTAATACTGTGCAGCCTTTGTGTGTTACCCTAACCAGCGGTCTGATGCTCGCTATCGATCTTCAGTCATATTGTGAGGAGCACCGCCAACGAGAACTCGGGTTTATACGGCGCCCCTAACGAGGTGTAGCTTTGCAGGCACAAAATGCGGACGAAATGACACTTTGGCGGAAGGTAGTCATGTCCTCAGGGCGTCACCAGTCACGCTGTTCTTTGGCAGCCGTGTTCCACGTGTGTGGAAATCTCAGCCTGGTTG